TTGAGACAGAATATCGCCTCGTCACTGAGGATGATAAACCACGTGATTGCTCTAATATCCGCGGTTAGAAATGCACGTGTTTATCCATTCTGATGTTTTGGCTTTTTTGGAATTCGGCAGAATGAAGTGTGTAACATACCTGTCCCCTTGGAAAGCTTTGTTGGATATTTTCTTGAATTATCATTGCCCCGAGCCATTACTGTTGTAGACGCTACGCGTACGTTGGTATTCCTGGACGACCGCTACGTGACCAATCGAAATCTCTTCCCGTTTCTCGGTGTCAGTTGAAAATACTTCCAACGGTAGATTGATTGATTGATAGGATTGGAAGCCTTTATGCGTATTTATGGTTAAATTCTTCAGCGGCTGATATATGTTCCCGGTCAGTACACATTAATACCAGCGCAACGTATTTTATTTATTTATATATTTACTTACTTTTAGAATTAATGATTAATTTTAAAAGAGAGGTTGAAACATTTCCGGTGCGTGTCTTATGAAACGCACTGTACATAACATGAAATACAGAGCTCTGTATGTCGTGTGGAACATCTTGCAATGCTGTTAATGATCAACGAAACACAATAATTATTTCTGACCCGTTGCAGAATGTTGTTTGTAGTGTGGTCGGCTTTCCAACTGGCGGTTTCAATCATACATCATAATTTGCAACAAATTGACATTTAGGACCAGTGAGGTATGAAAACCAGCAGAAGTGCTTCCGGAAAACTGTATACTAGTGTCTTGGTAAACATCTTACTGCACACTCTGTATCGTTGTGGCAACATACCGGTAACATGCCTTATGAGGCCAGAGAATTACGTATTTGTTTATAACAACACTGTCAGTAGCTCAGACTATATAAAGGTTCGAAAAACAGGATTAATAATCAACAGCGAATTGGAAATTATACGCGAGAAAGCGGTCGTGATTTAAATTCAGACACAATTCCAGAATTTGCCTAGCTGGACTGAGGGAAACGACGAAAAGTTTCTGTCTCTGAACCGTGAGTTGATCCTGAGGCCTCCCGAGTGCAAAGCCTCTCGGATGTACGTTTAGTGAGATGTGTTAAAAGCTCTTCAAGTACATTTATCTGGCCCTAGCTAAAGCGACAGTTGCTAGAATAACATTTATTACATTGTCGAACCGGTTTCAGCTGCTAACATGTTTGAACTTCATAAAAAGAACAGTCCCTTTCATAAAATTCCTATGTGTAGTCATTTATTACTCAAGCAAATAACTTCTGACGTTCTAGTTATTGTTGGTTTAAAGAACATACGACTACAAATGTCATTTGCGCCTTCGTTTGAAACGTGAAACAACAAAATTAGAAGACTGCAAGCTTTAATAGCCTCTAATAAATTCGTGGAGTGAATCCATACACAGAAAAAAAAAGGTCAGTCTGTTCAGACCAGTAGCATTAACCAATCAAAGTGATGGTTTATAAGCGACTCTGATTTGAATGAGGTAGGCCTACATATATTTTCATAACGCGGTCCTTGTTCTCCTCTGAACTCTTATTCATTGGCTTTGCTGTTTATTTGTTGCAGACGCAAGTCCATTGTTGTAAAGGTGTCGCATTGCAGATCCCACACTAAACCACGATTAATATTTTTTGACGTAAATACGTCTATACGGAATGAAAGGAAAGCGTGTAAGATCCATATCAACAATGTGTTAATATGGATCGACAACAATGGTCAGCTTGCGTGCATTGTTATGTTACCTAGGAAAAGTCATCTGTTTACTCGGCATTGTTGTTAATATTGTTGTAATTAAGGCAAATATATAAACTTCCTTTCCGTATAGACGTATTTACGTCAGATTCTACGGAACCGTGGTTCAGCTGTCAAATTCTTGCTTGCTAGTTTAGTTTACATCACATAGAAACGTAGTTTAAATTAAACTCGTAAATGTTCTGGATTATCATGTTGCTTATTTGCATACGAGTCCGCACGGTGTTACAGCTGAAAAGAGGGACATTTTCACCGCCGTGAGAACCTCGTATTTAAACGCGCAACAAAACATGATCCACGAGATAAAGAAACCGAATTTATCTGCAGAAGAAACTTGCGTGATGCTTTTATTTTTGGCTAAACCGCATTCTCTTAAGTATTGAATTCCAGGGCCAACTTTATGTCTGGGACGTTTCATCTATTGAACCAGTGGTTTCTATGCTTCACCGATCATAAAGAGTTGTGCAGTAATTTGAGGAATGTGATCACAGCTCGTAAAGAACGGGTGCATTCACTTATGCCTGCAAAACAGACTTATTGACAACACAGACCTCGGTTATTAAGATGCTGGCTTAACCCCAAAGGGCATGGTTGTCTTCTGGTATGCGATATCAGATGTTGATCTAAGAAATTTTTATTTGATATGGGGAATACGACCGCCACGGTGGTCTAGCGGTTAGAACGCTGGCCTTGTAATCCTGGGGTCTCGGGTTCGATTCCCGGCGGTGCCCGGATTTATAACTTGTGTTGGGCAATTCCGTGGTCTAGGCAACACGGAGTTTTCCTCCGTGGCATCCCAACAATTACTCCATTCACACACAGAAGAAGGCAATGGCAAACCACTTCTGGATCATCTGCCAAGAAAGTATATGAACAGGTCCCAGTCCGAGAAAAGGAGGGAAGGATCCTGTTCATATGGACCTGACCTGTCGTCACCTTGTAATCCTGGGGTCTCGTGTTCGATTCCCGGCGGTGCCCGAATTTATAAATTGTGTTGGTCAAGGCCGTGGTCTAGGCAACACGGGGTTTTCCTCCGTGGCATCCCAACAATTACTCCATTCACACACAGAAGAAGGCAATGGCAAACCACTTCTGGATCATCTGCCAAGAACGTATATGAACAGGCCCCAGTCCGAGAAAAGGATGGAAGGATCCTGTTCATATGGACCTGTCGTCAGACAGAACACTAAATAAATAAAATGGGGAATACTTAACAATGAAAGAGGATAAACATGTTTGAATTGTCTTCAGCTTTCGTCTGCGATTAGCTACGCAATAAATGAACATCGTAGTTAATGAGATGTGGAGAATAGCAAAGAGTGAATCCAGAAAACATAGGGTTCCCCTTCAAAACATTGGTGTGACCCCCTGCAACTCCACAGGTTAAAACCTTGAGTTTCATTTTCACTTTTAATACCGCAAAATTAGTTGTGGACTAGGAATTGTTAAGTGGATTGGAAACCAGTTCTGGGGTTCTCTTGCGCGTATCGCACTGGAATGAGAGGTGGTGGTGGTTGTGAGTGCCTTGAAAAGTGACCATTTATTCCCTTGGTCTCTGTCTTAGAGAGGTTAATAGCCTGACCAGCAGTTGTCCTGACGGAACATGTAGGGTCACGCGTATCATGTTGCCACGTAGGCAGAGCGCTAAGTTACCTACTGTGCTTCCCGTATTTATTGTCTACAAATAGTGAAAGAAATTTCACTTGGAGTGGCCGATAGCCCGGCGGAAATTTTAATCGGGTAACCCCGAGCTTTGTGGTAAATTGTGACTGTGTTGTACCGAAAACAACCTTCTGACATTTTGGAGTAACCTACTACCTTTATTTATTTTCTATTTTTTGAGGGAGAAGCGACTTCTGACATCCTAAATCTCGGCCGATACTATCAGTGAAAAAGAATAATAATAATAATAATAGGCTAACAACTAAAATAGACAAATTTCCGCGGACAATAGACTGCTGGAAAAGGATAAAACACCTATAAATGTGAATTTTTATGACAAACTATGGTGAAATTAGCAATACAGAGCTGCGATATGTCTGCCCCCCTGACAGGAAAAACAAATATGTTTCATCGAAATCAAGTATTTTTACTTTCCACGTATTGAAAACCTTAACGAATGAAGAGTTTAATGCACGTCCAGACAATTCTTAATATGAGAATGTTTTTAGTATAGATAGTAGACATTGGAGTTCCGTGAATTTTATTTTATTTTTCTTTCTGTATCCTCAGGGGTTATGATTTAGAGGTTTCTTTTCCAAGTCCTTACTCAGGAGTCTTCCTTATGCCGAGCGTCAATGACCCCTTCTTGTGTCGTGTTGAATGAACATGCCCCCATCTTCCGTATCGAGCAGCGCCGTTTATCCTGGGATCGACGCCCGCTAACTGTGATGGTTCTTAGCTATGACAAGTGCTTTGATGATCATTCAGTAAATTCAAGCATATATGACAGTAAACCATCATCACAGACCATTCGGGTGGTAGGACCTAACTTCATGAATTCTGCATGTCGTGACACACCGGCTCAGAGTCGATATTCTTCAAAATAGATCGCTGAACGCAGTTTCCACTCGACCGTACTCCGATCGGCGTCATAGAGTGACGTACGTCTTCATCAGGTTCCCGTTATCACATGACTTACAGGGCAACTAGGACTCTCTCATTACTTCATTTTCTCTCGCAGCAGCTGCTTTAGGAAATAAGTACCAAGGTACCGTTTTCTTCAAAATCCTTGTACTTGTATGTTTTGCGTGTTTACTTACACGTTCCGGTGACCCGTGGAGTATGAGGTTTTCTGATACGTAAAACAAATATTAAGCCTTCCAGATCTCGTTTCTAGAAATCTTATGTTGGTGTATTTCTACGGTGACGTATGATTTCTATTGAAAACTCTCACACACTACTGGAAAATGGCGGGATACGAACCTTTTCCATGTATTTTCAAACACCAAAATAATTCAGACAAGAATTCAGAAGGGACAGTGATTCTAAGAAAGAGATTTCGTGCATATTTGGAAAAGGTTGAAAGAACGTGATTTTGATGATTTTGCGCACTTATTTACATGTGCAATTTATTTAAGTTGTTTTGGTTTAAGGTATTTTTAATTGAGGGACTAAACATGGGGAAGGAACTTTGTTAACTTAACCACTGTTTTGTTTACGTGTCTGATGTCGGTAAAGTGTCTGTGGTTTTACTACGTACTGAGTAGTAACAGTCATCGGCTGCGTGGTATTCTGAAATGTTGTCTCTCATTTTGTTTGCAGTGATTCACTGCTACTTGGAGATAAAATGGCGCCGAATTCAGAAGAAGACGGGCCTCGTCTGACGTCGGTAAAAGACGGGATTTGGAGTAATCGTGGCGACACCAATAACAAGGTAAGCAAAGCTGAAGTGAGAAACTTGCCTTAATGGATTCATTGTAATGTGTCAGCCACGTTCCAAAATAGTGATTCAAGGGTTCTAAATTAGAATTGAAGGCCCTGGTCATTCGTGATAGGACCAAAATGAATAAAATAATTAATCGAATGGCCGCGTCAGGTTCTGTTCCGTTGTTGGCCTGAACAGCACAAGGAACGTCTCCTCCACAGCTCTGTCAGTCTTGTTGGCAATCCGGCCGGGTTTCGAATTTGGCGTCATTGATTAGTCCCGGCGCGTAAATAGAGTACCCTGATCCTCTTACTCGCACAAAAGACATGTTGCAGGTGTCGCTTAAGTGTGCTGATCGTGAATCACGTTTTATTAGATATTTGCCTAGTACTCTATTATGTCTGCAGGCCATTTTGAAAAGTTTCACCTAATTTCCAACTGATTTCATTGGCACTCATATAATATAAGCTGTTTACAAACAGATGTCACTTTCCCTTGTAAGTAGAAGTTCACTGACGTGCAGCGACATTCTTGTCAGATAGCACACGAAGATTTTATTTAACACGCTAATTAACAAAGTATTTATGCGATGTCCAGCGATAAGTGCAGAACAGATTTTTAATTTCTGTTACGGCGCAGTTGATACACTGGAAATTTATATTATTATTAACTTCGGAAACTTATTATCCCATCTGCTTTACACGCTTAGGGTCAGGAGGTTCGGAACAGTTGACTGTGAGGCGGGTTGCTGTGAACGAACACGTTATTGAACCTTTGGGTTGCACAGAAGGCGGAAACCCGACGTCTCCTGATTTGCTGATCGGCTCTAAACTTCTGAAGGACTTTGCCCCTTAGAGTGTTTTATGGACAGAAGTGTGGTCTCTTATTGTCAGGGAAGAATGTGCATTTGTTTGAAAACTACTCGAACCCACAATGCATGAAATTAGAAATATTTACGTACATAAGGAGGACCTTTGTGACTTTTCATGTCACCTGGTATTATTAGGAAACTTGAGTCTTGGAGGATACGATGGGCTGGGCGTGTGGCTAGAATGAGAAACAAGAAATGCATAAATAATTTTGATAAGAATTATCTTGTGAAATGAAGATTGGGAAGACCGAGAAGTAGATGGGACGTGGTCGTGGTGGATAAAACTGACTGAGGATCGTGTCAATTGCTGGACTTGGTATTTGCGGTGCTGATACGTCGGATTCTGCTAGTACATTTTAAGTTAGCAGTTGGAAAGTTGCACTTGATATCCAGTTGCTTCGTTCTCATCAATCGAAAGTTGTAGCGAGCAGGTTGTAATAAATGGAAATGATGTGGGATGGCAAGGACGGACGCTCCTGCTGGTTACGAGTCTAGACGTACAGAACAACGCCTTCACTCTGTTACTGGGTGGGCTGATGTAGCCGTGTCACCCTAGGGATACCTAAATCGAGTCTCGTCTAGGGTTTCTGCTATACTGACTGAGGTCCTCCTGGGACATGTCACGACTCATGATTATAGCAAATGTAAACTGACCAAAACTATGTTTGCCAGACTATGTTTCTGTGTCGAAACGTCTAACACCAACTTTCATCGCAGTTGTTCCCTCCTTAATAAGCATACTACACGTTTAAGACTTGTATATAAAATAATTAAATATCCAGCTACCTTTGTAGAGAGACGCGACTTTCATGTCGATATAAGAAACTCGTCCGATTGCCTTGGCGTTCAAGTTCCCGAGGCGAGACAGCTGACTGCAGACCTGCGGAGCGAAATATTCCTATCGTTGCCTGTAGGGCGAGTTACGTATGTGGTCGCTTACTTCCAACGTTCCTTGACCCTGGCCTTCCTGGGGCCGCGGTGCGTGTGCAGAGTGCACATGCGCACGATCTGGCGAGTGAAAGCACCCACAGGCAGGGATGGGCCCCTCAATGCAGTTCACGTACTGAAGATGGAGGCGATACGAACCCCCGAAACCTTGATACTCACCTAGTGATCTAACGTTGATGCGTCTGTTAATCGGAATTTCAATAAAATTGTTCGCTACGCCACGGTGCTCTAGCGGTTAGAACGCTGGCCTTGTAATCCTGGGGTCTCGGGTTCGATTCCCGGCGGTGCCCGAATTTATAACTTGTGTTGGGCAAGGCCGTGGTCTAGGCAACAAGGAGATTTCCTTCGTGGCATCCCAACAATTACTCCATTCACACACAGAAGAAGGCAATGGCAAACCACTTCTGGATCATCTGCCAAGAACGTATATGAACAGGTCCCAGTCCGAGAAAAGGATGGAAGGATCCTGTTCATATGGACCTGTCGTCAGACAGAACACTAAATAAACGTCGCGTTACTTTCTGTGGGAGTCCTCCTTGTCCTGTCGCTGTATGGCGTAACGTCTCAATGCCAAGTGACTAGAACGGCTAGGGTAAGGTGGAAACCAGACGTTTTTACAGAGTGGGACAAAACGCATACATAATTTTTCATTTTACATATTTGTAACGTTTCATACACGAAAAACTATTATCGAATTAATAATTCCACACATCACCAACCTCGGTCCAAAGTTCGGCTAACCTGACTGAGGGTTTCGTGGTTTTACTCAGGCCCTTCGTAAAATTCTGATTTAAGTAATCAGTGACCGGCCCCTTACATTTGTGCTTTTCAAATTAGTCTTTCCCATCCATGTACCAGTGCTGTTGAAAAGCGTCGTTAAATAACAGAAGAATGCGATCACATGCATGTACAGTATGTTTCAAAAGCCGGGACACACTTGCCATCCCTCGATTACGACCATTTTAAAGTATAATTTGTTTATGTGTGTGTTTGGGAAGATATTTGTAAGAGATTATGTGACAAGTAATTATGTAAATTAAGTTGAAATCGTAAGGAACGAATCATTTTAATGCGCGTGTTCATTTCAAGTGGGCCCTGACTTTTGCACCTCGTTGTGTGCGGGTTGCAGGAAAATGTGTTTCATATGCGTTTCCAAGAAGCGACGAATACTGACTTCCGATGTACTTTGTTACGTCTTTATGCCGTAAAGTAGACAATGCTTGAAAGTCAAGTGATGAAGACGTCTCTCGTCTCTTACAGATTTACCGAACCTTGAACACTTCTTTTGTTGCACTCTCGTCTAGACCTAACGTCTGTTCAGAGTAATTTGGCTTACTAATTTGCAGTTACTGTTCATTTGCCGGCTGACAAAGAAATCAGAGTATTTTGTTGGGAGATTTTTTTACGTACGGTGTGAACTGTCATTATGTTAAATAGCGTCTATCTGTGAGAATATTAGAGAAAAATGGCGTCTGAGTGTGGGCTAGATTAAAATAATTCAAAATATGTTCTGATGTCGGTTTTTTTTGTGAACGCTGTAATAAGCATTTGGATGCCACAGAAGCGAGACATTTCTGGAACAACTACCAGTTTTGAAGAAGGCTGTCTTCTGGGTTGTTGCACCCTGTAGTCTGGTAGAAGTTTACCGACGTTTTAGAGGTCCTTGCTGCGTCCATGATCAGGGCGATGCCGAAATGTAGGTTTTTAGACGAAGTTAATTGTCCAGTAAGGTGTATTAGTTCAAAGACATACCTTTACCAGAAATCTTTAGACTAATCTATTCTCTTCACGTTTTGCAGCTAAATTTTGATATTTATCATCTGTTCAGACTAGCCAGAAATTCCTTGTGTAGTCCACCTTTATAGAACAGATTACTAATTCCTGAAGACTCCGTTGCGTAGGTCACGACAAAGCACCAACCCTTGTCCGTTGTCCACTGTTACGTGTCTCATAAAATACTTTGTTTTTACTGTGAGGGGCTGTTAGCTACTCACCCAACCCCCAAGATTAAGGACTGTCCCATGTCGGCTCTCCGCGACTATTTGTTCAACATATTTACGTGTTTGTTCTGCTGAAGGTTTTCTGAACTCAAACCGTAATTGTATATTATTTCTGTTGTAATGGCCTGACTGCAGGTAATTTACCACAATGTCTCTTAAGGCAGAATAATTGTCGTAGACATTAACTGAGTTCAAGAGCCATAGACTGTTGGTTTTTGCGACCAGAATTTGCTGAAGCGAAGCTAATGAGAAAACATCAGTGCAGGCCAATGAAAACTGGAGGTCTCTGCGACAACTTGCCTGCTGGCCTGTCACGTTGTCAAATGAGATCGGATCAGAATCAGATGAAGTTAGTGCGACATGTTGGCAGGATTTCATGTTCCACTTAATGCAATTCTTTCGGTTTCTGTGTCTGCAAAAATTTGAATTATGGACGTGGAGTAAACAGGATTGGAAAGTTGCAATCCGCACGTAGTTCTTGTCGTGCTGAATGATCCTATCGGATTATTTGAGTTTACACTTGAAATTCTTATAATCAGATAATCAGAAAGTTCCTAAATTAACTGCTGTTTGTTTAGTGCACTGCGCGCAAAGGTGTGGATGATGAATCCAGCTGAATAAAATTCCAAGTGACAGTTATATCCCGCTGCAGTGAATACGTTTGTACGCAAGCTCTTACAGTTCTGGGTTCTTCTGGGTTTGTGGGCATCTGCTCATACGATTCTAGCCGACCAGGGTCACATGTAGTATTACTGTTTCTAATTTTAAATATGTTAACGTAATAATATTAATTATTATTTTTTTATTATGTGACAGTTCTTACGTTAAATTTATCGGATATGTTTAATAACGTCAACATTTCTCAGTGTTGTCTGTCATATTTGTAATGAAATTACAAACAGTATCTTTTCATAATTTTAGACATGTCCGTAATCTACGAGTTCTTCTGTACCGAGAGAAATGGGGAAGTGTTCGAAAATTTCATAGTCGATTAGTCGAAATGAGAATGGCGGGAGAAGGTGATTTAATTCCGGTTCTTGGTCCACGCTTCAGATACCGGAGCGAGGAATTGTACTGTGATGCGTTACAATCTCTACCAGTTGATGCGGAAATTTAACGGATGATTTCTTTGCTGATGCTAACCATTTCAGCTGGTGCAACCATACAGAAAGAAGAATATGTGTTTCAAG